GGGGGACCCCGGCGACGACCCGGGCGCGGGGGACGGCGCGGCCCCGCGCGTGCGCGCTGTGCTCGTGGGCTACGACGAGCACTTCTCCTTTGCCAAGCTGAGCGAGGCGTGTGCGCATCTGCGCGACCCCGACTGCCTGCTCGTGGCAACCGACCGCGACCCGTGGCATCCGCTCAGCGACGGCAGCCGGACCCCTGGTGAGCACGGGCCTGACGGGGAGACGGAGCTGGGGGGCAATCTGTGCCTTCGCCTCCACGCCTGAGAATGAAGGGCGGCGCAGGGGCGTCCCCAGGTGGCAGGTGGGGAACAGATGCGAGGGAGGCCCGGAGTGTTTTTGTGCACGTCTGGTAATTACCGCACTGGTACCCACATCGATGGAGTCCCGGTTTGACAGACAGAAAAAGAGGCCCTTGTGGCTCGAGGAGTCGCAGGTGAAATCCAGGTCTTCTGACTCCCAACCCTAGCCTTCCCCGACCAGCCTAGAGGACTTTTTCCCCCTTTATTCTCTTATTTATTTATTTATTTATTTTAGCCTTAATCATTTTGCTCCACACACCATCCAGGTGGAGTTGGAGGGTTGGAGCCTGGAAGGTCTGTCCCCGATAAAAGGGTGGGGGCACCATCCCAGAAACAGGGTGTGTGCAGGTGTGCACGGAGTGGAGACGGTGGACGCTGCCCTGAGTTGCAGTTGCAGCTCCGCTCTGTAGTCTTGTCTGTTACATAACCTCCAGTGTCCTCAGCCGAGGTGTAAAATGGGCGTGCTCCCCACGCCAGTTTCACCTTAGGGAACAGTGACCAGGGTGGGTGCCTGGCACACAGTAGGGGCTTACATGTAAGAGGTAGCCGGAGGGACCAGCAGTTAGCGTAATGGCTATGTCGCTGGACTCTCATGTAGTCGACCACGGCTTAAACTCACAGTGGGTGTGTGTGCATGGTGCCCAAGATCCTGAGAGGAGAATGGAGGAGAAGGGATTGCAGTCATGGCCATCCCCCCGGGGGGTGGGGTGGGGTGATTTCTTGCTTTCTATCTCTCTGTCTCTCTCTGTCTTTTTGGTGAGCCCATGTGCCGTATAGTAAAAAAAAAAAAAAAAAAAAGGAAGCCGGAGTCCTTCCATGTCACCAGGAGCTTCATGAAGTACCTTGGTATTTCTTCCTTGGCTTCCAGTTACTCCAGAGATGGGCACTACTGTCCCATTTCCCAGTTAAAGACGCTGAGGCTGAGAACTGAGGGGCAGGAGTGTGTAGCGGGTCAATGACAGGGTACAGGGCCCTGAACTGGCTGTTGCGACACCCACCCCTGGTCCAAGCACTCTTCACTGCCATCTTCCTGGGAATTTAGCCCTGCACAGAGGCAGGCACAGGTGGGAGCCCCTGCATGGTGCAGGGGTCCAGTGAGATAAGAGCAGGGGACAGCAAGGCCAACTGGCAGTGATGACGGCCTATGGACAGGTTAGTGCCCCAGTCAGGAAGCAGGGGGTGTGGACAGATCCCTGTCACTCCTTCTCTGCTGGTCCCTGACCAGGATAGTTTTTGATACCAAATCCTGGAGGAACAGGGCAATATTAGGCAAGGTGAAATAGACTTAAGATTATGATAACTTAATGGGGAAGGCTTAGTGCTGAGTGGATCTGGGACGGCTTCCTGGAAGAGGCATGTTGTAGAGCAAGGTGATAAAAGTGAGGAGACGTAGACAGTGTTAGGATAGCAGGGCTGGGCAGCAGTGGGGGTATCTATGGTTCTAGGCCTGTCCTCGCTCTGCCGTACAGACAGACCTGCGTACTTCGTGACCACCTGAGCCGCCGCGTCCCCGTAGATCGGAGGCGAGAGTGTGGGTTAGGGCTCCTGTCTGCTCTAGGCCCTGCTATGGAAAGTGAGTTTTTCTCTCCAGGCCCAAAGCTCAGGTTAAGGCTGTGGGTTGAAAGGTTCTACAGGGCTCTGGACAGGTGGTGTGAAGGAGCTGGGGTAGACCAGGCCTTGCCCACCCTGCAAGCCTCTGTGTGAGCCCAGGCCCTGTGGTCTCAGTTCGCATCTGGCTGTACCCAGCCTCCCTGCCTGGAGGGGGAGGCAGAGACTTTCCAATTCAACACAGCGTGCGGATTCGTGCCCAGCTCAATGAGCTTTGGAACACTGTAGTATAAAAATACTAATAGCGGTGCTTGTTGTGCAAAAAAATCCGAAACCATGCGAATCTCCCACGCTGGTTCTCCCAGCCTAGGGGCCCCCTAAAGTCTGCGTTTACCTCATTGTCACATGCAGCCTCGTTAGCTGGTTCATAAAAATGCCCGCTGCCCGTGGTTACATCATCAGCATAGCATGCGACAGCCTGGGATGACAGAGTGTTGGGTTAGGCAGAATGATGGGAGTCTGGGATCTGAGCGACAGTTGCATTCCCAGACCCCTGCCAGTCAGTGTGCTCCCCCCCCCACACACACACACACACACTCACTCCATCCCTGGGATGCTGGCTCCTCCCGGGACAGGGGTCTTTGCCCAGTTGACTTTCTGTCTCCAGTGCTTGGCTTAGAGTTGAGCCCCAGCAAACGTTAACCAAATGAATGGAGTGGGATGTAGGAGCCGGAGGGTGATCAGCCCTGTCCTGATGGGAAAGAAAGAAGTTGCCAGAAAGATTCATGATAGCAAGAACATGCACACACACAAAAAGAAGCACTCTTGGGGCCAGCAGATGGCGTAATGTTTACGTCACTGGATTCCCATGTATTCCTCTGCAGCTCCAGTCCTGGACTTGGTGGCTTAAAACTCACACCAGGAGTGTGTGTATGTGTGCCCAAAATCCCGAGGGGGAGAATGGAGGAGAAGGGATTGCAGCGTGGTCATTCCCCGTGGGGAGTGATTTCTCTGGCAAACACATACCCTATAGCCCCCCCAAAAAAAATCTCTTTAAAAAAAAAAAAAAAGAAAAGAAAAGAAGCACCCTTGACAGCTCATGGTCCTGTCACGATTCCCCCCTCAGCCTAGGTGTCAAATGGCGGGATCCCCATGCCAGTTTCATCCCAAGAGACAGTGACCAGGGTGCGCACTTGGCACACAGTAGAGGGAGGAATAATGAGACTTAAGAATTTACCACCTTTGTTTTATTTATTGGTTTTGTATTTTTTAAAAGAGGTTTTTGCTATAGGGTGCTATCAGGATTTGGGGAACTTGCATCCTGGTGTCTGGCGTATATTTTAAGCTTCTGGGGCCAGGATTTGAACTGCTACCAGGATTTGGTTAGCCTTCTTAACTACTAGGCTGTGGAGCCAGCCCTGTCACCTTTGTTTTGAACAGTTTTTTAGATTTCTGTTATAGGGCACGTGTACTTGCTGGAGAGGGGAGAGACAGATTCAGAGAGGAGAAAGGTGAGAAATCACCCCTCAGGGGGATGGCCAAGCCGCAATCCCTTCTCCATTCTCCTCCCAGGATTTTGGGCGCACATACACACACAGCTTGAGATTTTGTTTTTGGGGTTTTTTTTTTTTTGAGAGTTTTTTGTTTTGTTTTGTCTTTGCTATAGGGCATGTGCACTTGCCAGATAGACAGAGAGACAGAAAGCGAGAAATCACCCCCCATGGGGGATGGCCACGCCGCAATCCCTTCTCCTCCATTCTCCTCTTGGGATCTTGGGCACGCACGCACACACACCTGGCATGAGTTTAAGCCACCGGGTCTGGGACTCGAACCGCGGTCGACTACATGAGAGTCCAGCGACATAGCCATTACACTAACTGCTGGTCCCCAGCTTGAGTTTTAAGCCTCTGGGTCCAGGACTCAAACCGTGGTCAACTTTGTGGGAGTCCAGTGATGTAACCATTACACCATCTGCTGGTCCCTATTTTAATTTGTTATCATTTTTCAATCTGCCATAGGGCACATGTGCTCACCAAAGAGACAGAGAGAAGGAAAGTGAGGAAGCAAGCTGCCAGGTCCAGGTCTTGAACTGTAGTTGGCCATGTGGGAGTTTAGCACCTTAACCATCAGCCACTTACTGGCCCTGAATTTGTTTTTAACACCTCTCAGCCATGAATTCATGGGGAATAGGTTCCAGAAGCTCAGGCTCCTTCCCATTGGCTCACAGGTGCGCTTCTCTGGGTGGAGCAGGCTGGCGCTTCAGGTGAACCCAGGTACTTTTCTCTCTGGCTTCCTTTTTCTGGTCATTTTCCTTCACACGTTTTAGGAAGCTGTCTCTGCTCTCAGAATGCTCCATAGGCACATTAGTTCTCCTGGCAAGAATCTTGCCCTCGTTTGTTTACAGCAGTGCCAACAGCTTGCTGGGTAGCATTGTAGACCCTTGCAGTGTTGCCATGGTAACATCTGTGGGGCGGTCCTTTTTGAACAGTACCCATTCCCTTGATGTCTACACTATCAGCTTTCCTGTAGACTCACATATATGTTACCAAAGGAACCACTCGTTTTCTAAAAGGCCTGGAGAACATGTATCGGGTGTCTCTCCTCCGTTACATTGTGGGTGTCATTTTGGTGAATTACTGGAAGACAGCAGTTCCTGCCAAAAGGAAGGCTATAAGAAAGTTGGGTTTGTTTTTTTTTTTTTATGTTGAGAGAGCAAGAGAAACAGGCACCCTCCTTAGGACATCTGTGGCCTCCCCACCTCCACCTGGCTTCCAGCCATCCAGGATTCTGGGTGTATGCCCACCCTGGTGCCCAGCACCTCTCGGTTGACCAGGAGCTGAATCCCTGGTCTTCCATGGAGTCCAGCACTGCAGAGCACCCCACTGCCAGTGCCACTCCAGCTGGGCTTACCTTCCCTTTTTTTTCGGTTTGTGCCGTAGGGCATGTGTGCTCACCAGAGAGACAGACGGAAAGTGAGTGATCCCCCACCCCCGAGAGAGTGGGGGGATGGCCATGCCACACCCCTTCTCCAGTCTCCTCCCGTGCATATGTACCTGGTGTGAGATTCAAGCCACTGGGTCCGGGGCTGGGAGCGCAGCCAGCCATGTGGGATCCAGTGCCGTACCACCATGCCACCTGCTGGCCCTTTTTGTTTGTTTTTTTTTCTTTTCTTTTCTTTCTTTTCTAATTTGCCAAAAGGCATGTACTCAACAGAGAGAAAAAGTAAGAAAGGCCTCTCGCAGGGGATAGTCACACCGCAGTCCTCTCTCTGTTTCTCTCTCCTGGGATTTTGGGTGTTCATGCACACGTGCCCAGCATCTTTTTCGAGCCACCAGGTTTGGGACTTGAACCATGCAGTCAGCCCCTAAATTGACCTCCCCCCACCTTAGGTCTTTGTCACAGGGCATGTGCACTCACCAGAGGGAGGAAAAGTGAGAAACCACTGGGAGTGGAGCCCTGCCGCCAGCCCCTCCTCCCTTCTCCTCCTGGGATTTTAGGTCTGCACGTATCCAGGCCCAGGGTGATTTTCAAGCCACCAGTCTGGGACTCACATCACTCAGCCATGTGGGATCCAGTGCCTTAACCACCATGCCACCTGCTGGACCTCCAGTTGATTTTTTTTTTTTAGCCATTGTGCACATGCGCTTGCTGGAGAGACAGAGACAGTAAGCGGGAAGTTGAGAAATCATACCCCAAAGGGGATAGTCACGCCGCAATCCCTTCTCCGTTCTTCTGGGATTTGGGGCACACACGTGCCCAGCATGAGTTTCAAGCTGCCAGGTCCAGGACTCAAACTGGGGTTGACCATATAGAAGTCCAGCACCTTCACCACACTACCTGCTGGCCCTCCAGTTGACTTTTTTTTTTTTTTTTTTTGAATGAATTGTTTATTGAGACCAGCAGTTAGCGTAATGGCTGTTGCTGGACTCCCACATAGTCGACCACGATTCAAGTCCCAGACTCAGTGGCTTAACCTTATGCCGGGTGCGTGTGCGTGCATGCCCAAGATCCCTAGAGAAAAGTGGAGGAGAAGGGATTGTGGCGTGGCCATCCCCCCTGGGGGTAGTCTCGCTTTCTGTCTCTCTGTCTCTCTCTTTCTGGCGTGCGCATGCGCCCTATAGCAAAAACCTCTCAAAAAAAAAAAGAAAGAAAAGAATTGTTTTATTTAACTTTATTTATTTATTTTAATTTAGACAAAGAGAGAGAAAAGGAAAGTGAGAAAGCAGGCCACCAGGTCCAGGACTCAAACCGTAGTCAGCCACGTGGGAGTTCAGCGCCCTTACCACCACGCCACCTGCCTGCCCCCCAGTTGACTTTCAATAGTAGCTTCTTTTTTTCCATCCCTCACCAGTATTTATTGAGCACCTGCTATGTGCCCAGCACTGTTGTAGGTGCTCAGTGGTAGCTGCTTTTAACAACCAGCTCACAAAATTCCTGCAAATGAAACCGTCTGCACTCCCAAACCAGTACAGGCTGGCCCAGCACACAACTGCGGCAGACCCCCATGAACGCGAGTCCTCTTGCTGTCACTGTGAAGCTGGGCGAGTAACTCGATGGCCCCGAGCCTCGGCTTTCTCACCGTGAATGGGCTCCCACCATCCCCTGGCAGTGGGGCATGTGCTTAGTAAACGCCGATTATCCTCATCATCTGTTCAGGACATCGGTGTGAAGGCAGAATGTTCTGGCACAAAGATGGGCCTGTGGGACAAGCACAGTGGACGCATTGTGTGGGGCAGGCTGGCACTGGGCGGGAGACGGGACTGTCCTTTCCAGACACTCCTCCCCTGTTAGGATCTTGGGCGCGTTCCACAGTGGAGCTTGTTATAGTTACTGCACCACAGACGTCGCCAAGCGTGTCGCTTTTCGTCTCCAGTTGGAATTCTCTCCTTGTGATCATTTTCCCAGCGGAGGCTGACTGGGTCAGAGGTGCGAGAGTTTCTGTACCCTGCTTTGTTCTGGAAGGGCTCTGCCAGTTCCTGATGCCGGGAGCATGCATTCTTGTAGCAGCAGCCACAACTGCTGTTGGCCAAGCACTTTTCTGTGTGCAAAGTGCTTGCCCCCATGATGCCCACGGCACCCCTTTGGAAATAAGTGTTATTTGGAACCCCTGTTGCAGAAAGTCCAGGGAAACTCAGAGAGGTTGAATGGCTCGCCCGGAGGCACACAGCTGCCAGCATGAATGAGTAAAGCCAGGCAGGACTGACCAAGCCAGGCTTGCTCGCATGCAGTGTCTCACTCAGGTCTTACAGCACCCACGGGAAATAAGTGATCGCCCATGTTAGAGAGGAGGAAGCCAGGGTCTGGGAGGCTAGCCAGCTGGCCCAAGGATGGCAGTGTCGAAGTCTGAGTGCAGGCGCCCGGCTGCAGTCTGTACTTGGAGCCACCACACTAAGACCTGGACGTGCGCCAGCAGGTGGTGCAGAGTGAAGGTCCCAGACATAGCAGCTTGGAAAACACTGGGCACGTGTGCTCATGTGCCGTGTCCCGAGAAGTGTGTCCATCCACTCTGGGGAGTGATTTCTCCCTCTCCCCCTGCCTCTCTCCAGTGAGTGCACGCATCCTATAGCAAACTAAAAAAAAAAAAAAGACTTGGATGCAGGCCAGCTGATGCAGGGCCGGACCTAGCTGGAATCCCAGTTTCAGGGCCTGATGCCATGCCTCACCCACCCTCTTGCTGACTGAGCCTCCTGTCTTCACAGGCACCGGGAGCCTGGCTGCGGCGGTGGAGATAGCCTCGGGACGCCAGGCCCTGGTGGTGGGCAAGCCCAGCCCCTACATGTTTGAGTGCATCACGGAGAACTTCAGCGTGGACCCTGCCCGCACGCTCATGGTGGGTGACCGCCTGGAGACCGACATCCTCTTTGGCCACCGCTGCGGCATGACCACCGTGCTCACACTCACGGGTGTCTCCCGCCTGGAGGAGGCCCAGGCCTACCTGGCGGCTGGCCAGCACGACCTTGTGCCCCATTACTACGTGGAGAGCATCGCGGACTTGATGGAGGGCCTGGGGGACTGAGCCCACCCGACCTGCAGCCCCACCCCTTCCCCACTCCCTGACCCCCTAGATGGAGGCGATAGGGCAGCTGCTGTGTTAAGCACCCCAGCTCCCTCACCCCAGTTTCTGCACCCCGGTGGGGCTGGGACCCAGGAAAGGTGTGAGGGCCCTTGCATGCCCTCCTTGCAACGGCTGGGCGCTCTTTGCTGTCTCAGAAGCTGTCCCTGACTGGCTCACCTCGGCCTCGGCCAGGTGGCTTTATTTCCTACCCCTCCCTGAAATCTGGGCCCCAATGCCAGATTGCCCCTGGCTCTGAGCACTTAATGCCCTTCCTTCCCTGGGGTGTCCGGAGCCCCGCCTGCCCTTTGGGTCCTGGCCCTTGGGTGCCTGCTAACCAGGCAGGTCTAGGCAGCCAGGATTGCCCTCAGTGGACCAACATGAGGCTAGGCCATAGGGACTCACTGATGTTGGGGCCCGAGTGGACACTTAGGAGCCCGAGTAGCCGTAGCCCTTCCATGTCTGGAGCTTGCATGGACCAGCCTGAAGGCTAAGTGGCAATGGCCCTTGCAGGTCCTGAGTCCTGGGTGGACCCGTCAGGACCCAGGTCATTATTACCAAGTAGTAATAACGTTGTAATAAGTTGTCATAAGTTGGTCTCTTGGATCTTGACTAGAACAATCTGGAAGTTGGAGAGACAGTGACCTCTTGACAGTCTGGGTCTGACTAGACCAGCCAAGGGTCCCAAATTAAGTCCTTCTAAGGGTCCAAGTTCTGTAGAAATCCCTTCCCATCAAGGTTGTCCACTGGGCCACCGGTGGCTCTGGGGCTCCTCTGGTCATGGTACCTGTCCAGTGTTGGAGGTGGCCACGTCTCGGAAGGGGGCGTCTGTGTCCCCCCACACAGTCAGTGTTTGCTGTGCCACCTCTCCCCGTGCCCACCCCCAGCTATTTATTTATTTATTATTGTGTGCCAGTGATGGTGGGGCTGGGGCTGGGCCTCCCCACCACCTCCACCCGTTGTAACCAGTCCTCCGTGCTTAATAAAGTGCGAGTGGCCGTGTTCCTATGTGTTGGAGTCCATGCCTGAGGCTTCTCCCTGGAACCAGCCTGCCGCCCCCGCCCTGCAGGCATGCCGCATCACTGTTCCAGAGTGTTCTCTGTGCCGGAGTACCTCGACTGAACACCACTTCACACATCGCTGAGCCCTCACACCAGTTTGTCTACGTCCTTTGGAAACCCGCCAGGTCTTCACAGTCATCCATTGTATAATGTAGGAAACCAAGGACCAGCCGCCCCAGGGTGGCACGGCGGGAAGGCGTGTGTGGTCACCCCATGACATATGCCTCTCCTTTCTGCCTCCCGGACAGCCCGTGCCTCTCACCCAACCAATGTCCCGGGGCAGATGCTTATTGGCTGGGCTTAGGTCCTATGCCCCTCCCTCTCCCCACCTCCACCCTCCTCAGGAAAGTGCTTGCCTCCCCCATCCTGCTGTGGGCCTAACAGCCATTCCCTACCTCTTGCCAACAGAATGCTGGCTTCCCTCAGCGTGGCACGAGTCAAGTGGGAGGGCATCCTAGTTCAAGCAGTAACTTGACTGGTTTAGAGCTTGACTCTAAACCAATCACAGTTGCTTGGTTCTGCCTGGTCAGTGATTGGTTTAGGTGTGCATGTGTGCTGTACTTCTGACCAATGAGCCATGAAGGGAGCCATCCCCCTGGCTATTGGCCTGGTGGGGAGCTTTTGAGAAGATCTCACTTAAGGGATGTGAGGGAGAGACTTGGGGGCTCTCGGTGCTGGGAGCCATCGCAGCCATTCTGTGATCATGAGGTGTGACCCAGCATATGACCACTTCATGACCCCGCTGCGAGTGGCAAAGCAGAAAGAGGGGAAGAAATTGTGGGGCTGTTTCCCCCGAAATTTTAATTTAGAAAGGTTTCAGGAAAGGTGCAAAACCGCTAATAATGAACACCCTATGTCCATCGGGAGTCAGTTGTTAACGTTTGCCCAGCTTCCTTCATAGCTCTTTTTTTTGAGAGATTTTTGCTGTAAGGCACATACGCTTGCTGGAAAGAGAGACAGACAAAGTGAAAACCTCTCCAGATCTGGGGCACGCACACACTCACGCCGTTTTAAGCTGCCAGGACCCGAACCGCAGTAGACTACGTGGGAGTCCAGCGACGTAACCATTATGCCATCTGCTGGTCTCCATTCCTCTTTTTCATTTTATTTATTCATTCATTTATTTTTATTTGACCAGAGAAAGGCAGAGAGAAAGCAAGCCACCAGGTCCGGAACTTGAACCATGGTCAGCCATGTGGGAGTGTCCAGCACCTTAACCACCATGCCACCTGCTGGTTCCCAGTACCTCTTTATATACATTTACTTTTTGGGTGTGCCAGAGGCTGTGTTTACACCCACGCACAATGGAGCCTGATCACTCCAGCTCCTCATCCCGTTAGGATCTCGGGCACTTGTGTGCATCCAGCATGCTTTTCAAGCCAAGGGGACCAGGACTCAAACCCTGCTGACCATATGGGACACAACTTCTGTGCAGCACTTAACCAGTGTACTGTGGAGCTGTCCCCTCCCTGGCCCTTTTCTAAAATGTGTTACTGGGGCCAGCAAGTGGCATGGTGGCTAAGGCACTGGACTCCCACATAGGACTATGGTTTGAGTCCTGGACCTGGAGGCTTATCTCACTTTCTTCTTAGTCTCTTCTCATCTTTCTCGGGAGCACATGTGCCCTATAGCAAATTTTAAAATAACAATAAAATTTTAAAAATTAAGTCATTCGTGAAAAAAAAAAATCTAATAAAATTTGCTATAGGGTGCATGCGCTCACCAAAGAGAGAAAGCGAAAAGGCACCCCCAGGGGGGATGACAATACTGTAATCCCTTCTCCATTCTCTGCGCAGGACTTTGGACACACACATCTGTTTATTTTTCAAGCTGCCAAGTCCAGGACTTGAACCACACAGCCATGTAGGATCCAGCCACCTTAACCATAACACAGACGGGCCCTCAAACTATTTCCATACTTTTCTTTTACATATTACTGGTCTCTAGTATGGACTGACCTCTTGGAACACCTGGCAACACTTTCCAAGAAAGATAACCAAAGGGCAGAGTTATGTTTGGTTTCCTGGGGTTTTTTTGTTGTTTTCTGTTTTTGTTTTTGTTTTTTTTTAAAGGTTTTTGCTGTAGGGCGTGTGCGCTCGCCAGAAAGACAGAGACAGAGAGACAGAAAGAGAAATCATCCCCCAGGTGGGATGGCCACACTGTAATCCCTTCTCCTCCATTCTCTCAGGATCTAAGGCATGCATGCACACTTGCCTGGCGTGAGTTTAAGCCACCAGGTCCAGGACTCGAACTGTGGTCGACTATATGGGAGTCCAGTGACATAGCCATTACGCCAACTGCTAGTTCCAGGCAGAGTTATGTTTAAATGTTATGAAATTGTTATGACTACCTAAATTCGTATTTCATTAAGACTGAGCACAGTAAACATTAATTTCAGATTTGCAGTTTTAGTATTTTGGAACCAACACATTTTTTTTTTTTCCAAGTTTCAAATATCTTTAAGTTTTTAAAAAGCCCCTAGCTTGGGATCAGCAGGTAGTGTGGTGGTTAAGGTGCTGGACTCCCACTGTGACTGACTATGGGTTCAAATCCCAGACTTGGCAGATTGCTTTCTCACTTTCTCTGTTTCTCTCTGTGTCTCTTTCTGATGAGTGCATGTGTTCTATAGCAATTTAAAAAAACAATAAAAATAATTATAATAAAATTATTTTTAAAAAAATTTAAAAAACCTTCCTAGCTTTCAGGCTAGCATGGTGGTTGAGGTGGCCGGGTCCCACATGGCTGACTGCGTGATTCAAGTCTCAGATGCAGCAGCTTGAAAAACCCACCGACACGTGTGTGCCTGCCCATCCCTCCCTGAAAGGAGGGAGAGGTGAAAGAAGGGATTGCAGCGTGACCGTCCTCATGGGGATGCTTTCTCACTTTCCCTCTTTGTCTATGGCAAGTGCATGCACCCTTGGGTGGAGGGGGACTAACTTTCTGTGAGCCTATAATTATTTCAAAATCAAATGTTGAAAAACTTAAAAGGCTCCAACCTAAGCCCTGGAGGGCTAAGGAATGAAAGGGCCTGGCCCTGGCCAGACCTTACAGGAGAGGAGGGACAGTTCCCCAAAGGAGGACCTGGGCCTGGACAGGAAGGGGATGGCCACCAGGGGGGCAGCAAGGGCCAGAAGGTCCCTGTGAAAGTTGGGGTCGGGCTGGTGGGCCAGCCTGAGTGGGGCAGGGCAGTCTCCACCACCATGAGGCCCCCGAACCTTCATGGAGCAGAAGGGAAAAGGCCACTTTCGTGGCCCAGGTCTCCAGGCCTTGGCTTGGCTCAGCAGATGAAGGGGTTTCAGTCCTGGATCCCTGTGTGACCTTGGCCAGTTTGTGTCATGAAATGGTATTAAATCTGGGAAAGGGTCAGGCACCGTATTTCTGGGGTCCCTCCCTGCTCTGACTTCTAAGACTCTAGAACCATCTCTGGATACCCCCACCTTTCCTGGCTTGGGCAGCCAGGTGGGCAGGGGTGTGGATAGTGCCTGTGGGGGCCTGGCCGCCCCCTCACACTGCCAGCTGGAGGAGACACAGCGTCCAACCATGCAGTGGGGGAGCAGGCCACCCGGAGGGGCCGGGCTGGCCTGGATCCCTGTCTGGACAAGCTGAGCTCATTTCTTTCTTTTTTTTAAGCTGAGCTCATTTCTCACGGCAGCGGCCAAGGGCCTGCCTATAGGACGTGGGATTCCAGAGAGCTCGCTGCCTCCTCCGCTTCAGGACAGCAAGTGGGCAGGAGAACCCCTGGGGCCAGGGCCTTGGCCTTGGAGACATTAACACTGGGCCCCTCCCCACACATTGCTCCTGTAAAATCCTCCAAGCAACTGGCAAATGGTACTGTTCGCACCTTCAGGCCTGGAAAGGGTTCGGAGAAGCCAAGACCCTCAGCCCAGTCACAGCCAGGCAGCCGCAACCCGAGCAGCAACCCTCACCTGATGCCAACTGCGGCTCTGCTGTCGATGCAGCTCAGCCCAGCTGGCAGATGGAGCAGGAGTGAGGTGACGGGATAACTCAGGAGAGAGAGGCTGCAGACCTGCAGATAAGAGGCCTCTGCGGAGCAGTCGGGGGTTGCGGGGGGAGGCCTCGAACTTGGGGAGGCTCCCTGCTACAGCCTAGGCACAGGGCACTGTTGGGACTAGATGGGGAGAGGGAGTCCTCCCAGCGGTGCTGTCGACTGGGCCTCCGGACTCCAGGAGCCTATGCACCGAGCCCTGCGGCCTGACCCACCCCAGGCAGGCAGGATGCTGAAGAGGAATGACCCTCTGCCCATGGCGCGCACGCCTGGTGCTGGGCCCGTCTTCCAGAATACGGAGAATGTAGGGGCTGCCCTGAGGCCCTGAGAGCCCGACTCCAGGTGGGAACAGCAGGGGTAGCCACCTGGCGACAGACCTGCAGGCACTCCCCTAAAGTGGACTCTCCCCTCGGCAGTGGACTCTCCCTGAAATTCCCGGTTCTTTGAACTGGCAGTGAGGGGGAGGCCCAGGGCAGAGTGGCCCCACCCGCCCCTCCCTGTAATTGAGGTTTTGGGGAGGACCCAGAGGAAAATGTGAAGCTGCTGTGGTTGGTTTCTGAGGCAGCGGCTTAGGGAGGGGGTAAGGGGCTGGCAGGGGTGCAGCCCGCACATCCCTATCTCCTGCCAGGGTGGACGTCAGTCATCTGGAGGAAGGTGGCCTGTGGTGGGGCCCCGGTAGGGCAGGGTGCATTTGCTGGCCTGGCCTGCAGATGTGAGTCAGCCCCTGGCACACCGTCTTCCCTCTTAGGGGCTGGCAGTGTCAGAGGGCAGCCCAGATGGAGAACAGCCCTGACAACTCCCCTGGCCAGGCTGTCGCCTGGCCCAGTGCTCCCCATGCCTCTCCCTCCACCTGTTTCCTGAAGGAGAGGTGAGCATCCCTCAGCATCCCTCAGATTTTCCCTGCAGTCCAAAGCTGCCCTCAATATTCACCCTCCCTATAACTTTCTGTGGCTCCCCAGCGCCCTCAGATAAAAGTGTCCAAGTCCTTCACCAGCTTAAGGGGGCCCTTCACGATCATGTCCTGTTGGCTTTCCAGCCTCCTGCCCCTCTGTTCCCCAGGTCTGGGCTTTCTCGTTTCTGAGCTTGGGCCAGCTGGAGTGTGGTCCCTTTCTAGGCCCTTCTACGAGTCCCACCTTCTCCACCTTCCGCAGTCTCCAGCCCACCAGTGCTTGCTCGTTAGAGCCAGCCTCACGTACTAACCAGGTTCATGGCCAGATTCCACCCTGGCTCTGGCTGCTTGAGAGCAGGGACTGGGAGGGGTTCATCTTCAAGTCCTCTGAGGGCCCTGCCGGGCCTGGAACATAGTAGGTGCTCAGTAAAACACCTGTGCAACAGCTGGGGAACGGAAGGCTGTGCCTGACCTCCGAAGGAGATAAGTGATAGAGCAGATGAGGGCACACAGAGCAGGGAGCCTCACCCCTGATGCTCCGGCCCACCCAGGGCTGCGACCCAGGTCTGACACTCAGGCCAGAGGCTGTCAGGCCTGAGCTCTTGGAGGATCCCTAGCAGGCCCCTCAGCAGGCTGAAGCCCGAGACTTTAGCGAAGGCCGGCAGCCGCAGGCCTGGCACAGGGCCCAGCCTTTCTTTAGCCTTAGCGAGGAGCAGAGCGTGAGCAGGCAGCTGCTACAGTCCTCGCTTCCAGGGGGAGGCTGGGTGGGGCCAGGGCCTGTGGTTAATGGGTCCTCAGCCTCTGCAGAGGTCCAGAGCGGAGCCACACCCTGGACTCAGCCAGGGAGCAGCCTCACCTATCCCAGTTCCAATTCCCTGAGTTAGAGCTGCATCCCCCAGCTCTCTTCTCTGGGTGCCCCTTGAGCTCAATTCGCTGGCCCCAGCCCCCCTCCCGCCAACTCTTGGGCCTAACTCATCCTCAAACTATTTTCCGTTGGCTTCCCCCAATCTCTGCCACAGCAAATTCGGAGGTGGGACGGGAGATGAAGGATGGAGGAGGAGAATGGGAGGTGGGGCTTGGACCCTGGGGGAATGGCTAAGAGGGAGTGAGGGGGCGCTGCCCACTCGGATTGGTCAATGCTGCGGCCGAACTCGCTTCAAAATTCCACTGACCCCGCCTCTTATGGCCCCCGATCCCTGTCCTGACTTGCGATTGGATGAGTTTCCAAGGGGGCGGGACTTGTCCGGTTAAAAGGGTGGGAGTAGCTGAGGGCCCTGCTCTCGGGTGGAGTCTTCAGACGGCTGGTGCAGCGGTTCTGGGAACACCCTCCTGTCCTCAGTCATGGCCTGTGTGAGTGTGAGGACCCCTCCCCCAAGGCCCAGGGGATACGGTGGGAGCTGATGGCCAGGGAAGAGTGGGGCAGATCAGGAGCTGGGGGTGGGGGCTAGTCCAGGCTGTGTGCCCTTAAACAAGTGCCTCCTCTTTTCTGGGCCTCAGTGGCCAAATCTGTAAAATGGGGTGGGTGCTGTAGTCCCTTGAGGACTTCTCGGGCTTCAGAATTTTCTGGATTCCTCCAGGGTCTGACAGCACAGTATTTCTGCCAAGGTCCCACATTCTGCAGCTCTCGGAGAAATGGGAGTGGGAAGGGTGTGGCCACCTGGGGGGGGCACTTTGGTGAAGCCCAGGCCACTGTCCCTTACCCCTCCTCCACCCCAAAAGCCGCCTGTCCCCTTCCCCCGCTGCAGCTGTCCCTCGTCACCAGGCCAGGGCAGTCACCCTCTGCTCCAGAGAGCGCTGAAAAGTTGCCAGGACCTGAGACAGGCAGCCTAGGAGGGGCCTGCCTGGATGAGGGTGGTGGAGGGCGGTTCTGTCCAGGCTGGCCAGGTGGGGGCTAAGGGAATTCCTCACTACTGCCCGGAGGGGTGTGGAAGGGGAGGCAGGATGGGGGTGGGGGTAAGGAGATGAGAATCTTCTGCAGGCCCCCAGGGAATAGGTTCAAGTTTCTGGCAGATAGAACCCCTCACACTAGTTAACTCCTGCCCTCCTGCCCCGGGCACCAGTGGGGAGCAGCGCGGGCTGTGCTGTGTCTGGTTAACCCTCTACCAGCCTAGCTGCAACCCCGACCCTCGGTTGCTCTCCCTTCTGCAGAAGGGCCTGGGTGTGTTCCCGGGTCTCCCCTCCAGCCCCTGAGCCTCTGCAGAGGGGCTGGAAGGAGATTGGGCGTGGCTACCCCAGCCCCAGGCTCCTTCCTGTCCAGCAGAGGGGCAGACACCTCCATCCCTGTGACCTTGGTCCCACTCAGCCCAGCCGGGTCCTCTGGAGAGGTCTGCTAAATAAGGCGATGGCGCAGAGCGCCCCACCTCCCAGGCCACTCTGAATCCCAGGTCCCCCAGCTGATCCACAAACCAGAGCCTGCCTTCTAGAACCGCGCTCCGGTTACAGGCAGCAGCAGACCCTGTCGGGAATAGGGACTTTCCCAGGACTATACAGCGAGTCCGAGGCTGAACTTGCAGCCCTGTCCAGTCCCCAAGCTGCCCCTTGGCCCCTCAGAGGATCCGAGGAGGGAATGACCCCACTCCCCCGCCTCAACCACTTGGAATGCCTCCACTAACTCGGCGGGGCGGATCTTGTCTGTGCAGGGTCTGGTCGCCAGCAACTTAAACCTCAAACCTGGGGAGTGCCTCAGAGTGCGGGGCGAGGTGGCCCCGGACGCCAAGAGGTGAGGACGAAGGCCCGTGGCGGTGGCGGGAGGTTGGGGCAGGGCATTGGAGCCAGGGTCGGGGGGTCGGGCTGGTGCGGGGGTGTGGGTGTGGCCAGCTGCAGCCCGCTCTCCTCCCCAGCCGGGAGGGGGTTAACAGCCGGCTGCTGCGACTGCGTTTTCTGGGTGAGTCACTTCCTCCGCGGGGTCTGGGCACCCCTTCTATTGTGACCCCCTTCCTCCCTGCTGGAGCCTCTTAAACTAAACCAGCTGCGCCTAGTCATCTTTCTCCGCGCCTCCTCACCAGCCCTGCGCGGGGCCAGAGGCTGGGGGTGGGCTGGAGAGGGAGTGGGGGGTGGCACCCACTGCCCTCAGGGCCCTCCTTCCTGAGTCTAGCATCCACTAGGTCTTTCAGTCCTTCAGTCCTTTCTTCACTCGTCTTCTTTCAGCCAGGGGCCATGTGACCTTGGGCCGTCCCAAGCCACTGAGCCTGTTCTTTGATCAATAAAGGAGGAGGGAGCGCTAAGCTGGGTAGTTCAGTGGCCACAGGGAGTCCACCGAGGGGCTGAAAGCAGCGTGCCTCACGAGCTTCTCATTTCACACTCACCTAACCCGGAGGGGGTGTTGCTGTGACCTCGCCAGCCAGGTGTATTACGTGAAAGCTGGAGGGCACGAGACAGAAAGCACCTCCCCCTGGGCGTGGTCACATCTTGATCTCCAGCTGTCCATCCTGCCGGGATCCTGGGTGCACACACACAGGCCCACGAGTCCAGGACTCAGATCTCGCAAGGGATTTGAGTGGGATCCAGTTCTTTAACCACCAGGTCCAACACATGTATTATTATTATTTGTTCATTTGCCCCACAGTTACGGAGCACGTGTGTCCCCTTCATGCTGGGCACTAGGACACGCCCTCCCAGAGGTCACCAGCTGAAAGGAGTTACTGACTTAACCCAAGGGGTGTCAATTTAAAATGGAAGGCTGAGTCAAACAAGTAAAGAAAGAGTTAGGTTTTTTGGGGGTTTTTTCTTTTTTTTTTTTCCCCAAAGTTTGTGCCATAGGGTACATGTGCTCACCAGAGAGAGAGAGAGAAAGGGACAAAGCACCCCCAAGGGGGGATAGCCACACCCCAATCCCTTATTTCTCCTCTTGGGATTTTGGACACACACGCACAAACACCTGGCATGATTTTCCAGCTGCCATGTCCGGGACTCGAACCGTCTTCGACCTTGTAGGAATCCAGCGCCTTAACCACCGTCCTACCTGTTGGCCCAAGAAAGATTTTATTTGGGCCAGGGTTAGGACAGTTTCCTGGGCACCACAAGATCTACGTTGCCCCGATGATATGTGCCAAGGTATTACAGATTTCAGGATGATTTAAAAGGCAAAAGGGAGAGGGAGTAGCCAGGAGTCTAGCGCAGCGGTGACTGACTCAGCTGTATGGTAAGGGGCAGCACAACCTCATGGTCACCTGCACCTTGTTAAATCTTTTTTTAAAAAGAATTATTAATTTCAATTTTATTTATTCATTTATTTATTTTAATTTGACCAGAAAGAGACACAGAGAGAGAGAAAAAGTGAGAAACCAAGCCACCAGGTCTAGGACTCAAACCGTGGACAGCCATGTGGGAGTGTCCAACGCCTTAACCAACACGCCACCCACATCTTTTATTTTTTAACTTACTGGTCTTTATTCTGCATGCATGTGCGTGAGTGAGAGGAGAGAGAAGCACCCTCTACAAGGCCTGGTCATGCTGAGATCCCTTTCCTCCCACCCATTAGATCTGGGGCACTCAAACATGCCCGGAGCATTTCAGGCTGGCCGGCTGGGGAGCTGAACCACGTCACCACGTGGCATCTGGCTTCTGGTGAGCAGTGCATTACTGCCACAACAGGAGCTGCCTCCACTTTGCTTCATCTTTTTTTTTTTTTTTTGGAGAGGTTTTTTCGCTATAGGGCGCGTGTGCTCGCCAAACAGACAGAGAGAGACAGGGGGTCAGAAAGCGAGAAATCACCCCCCAGGGGGATGGTCACGCCGCAATCCCTTCTCCTCCATTCTCCTCTCGGGATCCTGGGCACGCACGCATACGCGCCTGGTGTGAGTTTAAGCCAACAGGTCCAGGACTCGAACTGAGGTTGACGACATGGGAGTCCAGCGATGTATCCATTATTCCATCTGCTGGTTCCCCCTGTGTGATTTTCAAGCCACCAGGTCCAGGATTTGAACCACAGTTGGCCATGTGGGAGTCCAGCATCCCATCCACTATACCACCTGCTGACCTATTGTTTAGCTTCATCTTAAGCAGAACATGGAGATAGCGAGTCTGGAAGGAAGAGGGGGAGTGTATGTGGGTGATAAGGATGTTCATAAAACCAAAAACCTCGGTAACTTCTTGAGTTTCTGAAGGTGCACGTCCATTCCTCCTAAGAAAGCCACAGATGTGCACATGTTTTACTTCCTTATACCACTGGCTTAGGTTTCTGGAATCTCCTGTTATCGGGGAAAACTGGTCTATTTGGAGGGTCTATCAGCTTCCTTGAAGTTCCAATTTCATGATGTGAATTAAAAAAAAAAAAAAAGTAACAGTGGGTGTGTGCACTTGCCAGAGAGCCAGAGGGAGAAGAGGGAGTGAGAAAGCACCCCCCGCCCATGGTCATGTGAGATCCAGCACCTTAATTTAAGCACCATGCCACAGGCTGGCCCAATAAGGTGACATTTTAACGTGAGTGACTCCATTTTGGTCTGGTCTGTTGGGCCCTAGAGCAGGAGCTTAGTCCAAAACAAGGGCCTCCCACATTTTTCATCTAACGGGGCTAGGCACACACTAACGTCTGCAGGACCTGGGGGTGTCACCCGTCAGAACCCTCAGGGACTCCCTGAGCAGCTTCTTGTAGAGATGAAGAAGCTGAGACCCAGAGGGGGCACAGGCTGGCCAAGGTTCCACAGCAAGCAGGGGGCAAGGCCAGAACGAGCGTGCAGGTTTCTGGTCTCTAGGCCACAGTAAAGGTGGATGGGGCAGACTGCTCCGTGTTGGTCACCAGAGGCCATCTCGAACCTGCCCATTGTTCCCCAGCTTCGTGCTGAACCTGGGCAAGAACAGCGACAACCTGTGCCTGCACTTCAACCCTCGCTTCGACGCCCACGGTGACTCCAACACCATCGTGTGCAACAGCAAGGACGGCGGGGCCTGGGGGGCCGAGCAACGGGAAGCTGCCTTCCCCTTCCAGCCTGGGAGTGTCGTGGAGGTGGGCCTGGGGCAGGGCACCGGGCGGGCAGGGGGAGGGCACTGGGCAGGCAGGGAGAGGACACCGGGCGGGCTGGGACAGGGCACCGGGTGGGTTGGGGGAGCCTGACTCAGTGGCTGAGACCTACCCCACCCTGCCCTTGCTCTGTGATTGCCAGAGGAGGGTCATGCCCCCTCTGCCTCAGCAGCTTCCACGTGAACTGGGGTGTTCTCAGGGCTGCAGGAGGCCCTGGAGGACCCTCGATCTGTAGGCTCAGCTCATGGCCCTTCCCCGCCCACAGGTGTGCGTCTCCTTCGACCAGGCAGACCTAACCATCCAGCTGCCGGACGGATACACCTTCAAGTTCCCCAACCGCCTCAACCTGGAAGCCATCAACTACTTGGCAGCTGATGGTGACTTCAAGATCAAATGTGTGGCCTTCGAGTGAGACTGGCTGGGCCCCCGCCCCCAATAAAAACAGATGCCCCTG